GTTTTGTCACTTCCAACCCTCATACTGTGTTTATTTGTGTGTTCCTTTCACGTCTCTCATGTATCTCTGCAACGCTGTTTCATTTGCTTTCTCTGATATCAAATATATCTTTCTGCTGTTTGATGTTTTTATGCCGATGAACATCTCTTTATATATATACACTACTGATAAATCTTATCAGTAGCATACGCCACACCTCTAGATTACTGTGCTTCACCAGTCTAAAAGACTCAAAGGCTATCCTATTTCAACCTTTGTATTTGACCTCATAATCATTACAGGGTATTAAACAAAGTCTCTACAGGATCCTACGTAGGTTTGCACTCGACTAACGGTAATGTCGGTTCCCAGTGGCTGAATGGTGTACGAGCTTGCCTTGTAACCGTTAGGTCCTGGGTTCGAACCCCAGTGGGTGCGTACCGATGATTCCCAAAGACTAGAATGAAACAGCTGCCAAGTACTCCCTGGTTTTCAATGGTTCTCCAAATGATATCAATCCGTGAACAAAGCCTAAAAGAAGCACATATATTGGCGTCGGTGGCATAGCGATTAGGACGCTCGCCGACGTACTCCTTCACCTCGCTAAGCCAGAAATAATGCTGGTGAAGAGAAAAGGTTGGGCAACCCCATCCTGTAAAATAAACATTGCTACAGAAACTTCAAGCCACTAGCTTGAAACCCCATGTTCCTCTGGGGGAACGTGAAGGAAAAAAACAGTAATGTCAACAGCATAAATCACTGAGAAGTTTAACCAAAAATACACTCTAACACCTTATCATCCTCCTGCTTTTCCTTCTTTCAGTGATCATCTAACACCTATAATATCGAGTTTTACACTTCTCGAGAACTGATACACAAATAAAGTGCATATAAAGCAAATATATAACCCAAACAGAAATAATGTGATCAAACGTTTTGTGATTGACTTCCTGTACAAAAAAATAAACAATTAGTGAAGGCAGTAATTAACAATAATAATAATAATAATCTTTATTATGATTTTTATTCCTTACCTAGAAGGATAGGTTACCTTTTCTTTTTGATGTTCATTACGACATATGACTAGATTTATTGCTTCACTTGACTAATGGATAAAAGGATAAATGATGAAAGACACATGATTTTAAACACATTGAAAAGTGGAAATAAATATATTCAAAAATTGTTATATTGTTATATTTACTACTGTTTTTCATGAGGTTAGATACCGTAAGGTTTACTACATTAGTTCATTGACATAATAACCTCATACTAGTGATTTAGATATTTGTAGAAGTACAAGTTTCTGTTTAATAATTTCATCCATCAGTCCATTACAATCAACCCATTGGTGTCTCCCATGTTTGGTGTGAAGTGGGTGCTTATTTGTTGCATCGTTTGGCGGTGGTACTACAATATCTGGGTAATTCCATATTAGTTTGTTTATTAGATGTATCACGCAGTGAGAGAAACAGTATTATTTACTGGATGACGTTTCGAACACAATTTATTGTTCATAATCATTGCATCAATTATTATCACACGACTTCGAAACTTGAGTTTTATAGTTTTCTTTGTTCTCTCCTATTTGTCGTATGGGTATTAGAATTTTCCAGATGTCCGACTGGACAGGTGTTGAATCATTCTTATTACACGTATTTACAACCATACAACAGGATGAAATAAGATGACAGTTTTAAAATCTAATGTCACAGGGTGGAAGGAGAAGTTGATAACAGAAGCTTTGTTTATAGAATCAACTATAAATACATGTAATCGGTCGGTCGGTCGGTTTTCGACATAGAACTTTGCACATATGTGCGGCAGTTCAAGTCGCCACAATCCCTCCATGTACCACACAAAGCAAGAGAAGAAAGTAGAAGAAACGCATAATATACTCAGTAAACAGATGTGTGAGACAAAGGAATAGTAGTAACGGAGAACAAAACAGTTTAATTGGAAATCATAAGTCACAAGGAGTGCATGCATCTGCGCCACTGAGAACAATTTTGAGCCATGTCACCAATTGTTGCCAACCATTGATTTTTACCGTCCCGAGGACCCCAACCAGCCTAGAAGTCTACACCTTCCTACGTGGCTGGCTGGCTTAAACTAACTGTTGTGAATTTCACTGACTGGTATCATGTTTTGGTTTGACCGCCGCTAGCTCCTTTCCAGCCTGGCCCTATATTAGGTAACATTGTCCGTCGAGGAAAGCGATGACTAGGCATACGTAACACATGTCCTAACCATCTCAGTCGATGTAATTTCACAGCCTCGTCGACTGATTTCTCCTCCTTACCTAGCACTCGACGCATAACCTCAACATTGCTCACCTTATCATACCACTTCACGCGGGAGATAGAGCGCAGACACCTATGATCGAAGACAGCTAATCTTTTCATGTCTTCCACTCTCAATCGCCAGGTCTCACAGCCATAAAGGAGGACGGAGCAGACTGTTGAGCAGTACACCTGCCATTTGGTCGATAGTCGGATATCACGTCTACACCACAGACGGCATCAACTGGCATATGCGAAACTAGCCCTCTGTATTCGTGCTGAGATTTCGTCGGAGATCAACCCGCTGGCACTGGCTGATGGTACTTCCCAAGTAAGTGAAGCAGTCGACGTGCTCTACCACTTCACTTCCCATTTCTAATCTAGGAGTCGGTGTAGTTCAATCCTGCAACATTATCTTACATTTTACAGGGGCGAATCGCATGCCAAACATACGAAGATGGCTGCTCAAGGTGTTCAGTAGACTCTGCATTTTGTCAGCGTCCTCGCCTAGAAGGACTATATCGTCCGCATATTCGAAGTCGACGAGATTATTCCCTGGTAGCAAGTCAATCTCTGAGTCGCTGAAGTGTGTTAGGGTTAAGTCCATTAGTACGTCTATGATCAAGTTGAATAGAAATGGGGATAATGGGCATCCTTGACGGACACCACTAGTCGTCACCACTTTAGATGACAACTCGCCGTAAGCCCTCACCTGGCTGCATGAGTACGAGTAGAGTGCCTTGATCAGCACAATGTATTTTCTAGGCATTCCCTTTACAGCCAAGCATCGCCAGAGAACCTCTCGGTCGAAAGAATCGAATGCCGCTTTTAGGTCAAGAAATATAATGATTGTCGGACGCCGGTAGGAATGCCTATGTTCTAGAATCTGTCGAAGGGTGAAGATATGACCAATACACCCTCTACCTGGCCTAAAACCTGCCTGTTTTTCTCGTGTTTGTGCCTCCCGAGCACCACTTAGTCTACGCAGTATTATTGAGCCTAGGATTTCAGATACTATATTAGTCAAGCTAATCCCTCTGTGATTATCACAAGAAGACTTGTCTCCCTTCTTGTATATCGCGATGATCAGTGAATTACACCAACCCGATGGGACTTCCTCTGATTCCCAGACGCTGCCTAGAACCTCAGTTAAGGCAGACAGTAAACTGTCTCCACCGTACTTAAATACCTCTGGAGTCAATCCATCAGGTCCCGCTGCTTTGCCTTGTTTCAGATTAGTGGCAGCTTTAGTAACCTCGGTTAAGGACGGAGGACCTGTGTCTACATCTCATTCAGGGATTCTCCGAAACCTACTCCAAACCTTCAGTAATCCTCATCCAAAACTTCGACTTCAATGTACAGGTTGAATATGACTCAATGTTCAAATTTCCTCAATATTCAACTGAGAAGAAATGCTGATACCTCATTGAGCAGATCCATATACAAAAACCCACATGGAATGGACAGTTCGTCAACTTTCAAAGTTGTATCCATCTAAGCAAAAAGGGAAACCTCATATATTCTCTTTCCTAAAGTACCTGGGAAATATGTATCAAGGAGTGTATGGACGAAGAACTACAAAATCTCCAAGGAATCTTGATGGAAAGTGATTTCCCACCCCGTATCACAGACAAGAACTTATATCCAAAGAAAGCTTCTGAACACGTTTAGGTCGCCCGCAAAAAGATGTTGCTGCTTAATTTCGAATTTAAAAGTGATAATAAAGCAAAAATACTTCGAAGACGGCATTCGATATCTCCCGGTAAAACATATATCGCCGCCAGCCTATGAGTGACACTCTTTTGTAAGAAACTATTCAGCCAGTATGTGGTAAACAAGCTGTCGCATTGGACCACTTAGACATACATACATACATACCAGTTTAATAGCTCTTGTGGAGCTGATTATATTAACCTTACCATGAGTTCGCTTGTAAAACACACCCGGGAACACTATCCAGCCTAGCTAGCAAAGAAGGAAAGTAGGTGTGTTTGTATATAGCTCGATAACAGAATATTGGGTCAACTCACAATATTCAACTACTTTTAAGAAGCCTTTCAAAGTGCTATACAAGATCCGATCAAACATCTCAAAGGGAGCGAGATTAAGGTATCTGAGCATAGTTGAGACAGTAGCGACCTAAAAGTTCAAGGCACCGTTATGTATTCAAAAGAAATATATCCTACTTTTGTCTTTATCATGACATTTATGAACAGTCATTTCCCACAATGATGATCATCCTATTAATACTATGTTTTTAATCCCTATATATAATCTTGTTAATCTGACCCTCCACCGGAAATAGTCCTGGAACTTTCTTATTCATTTACTATTTATACACAAATGTACAGAGTTGTTGATGACTTTGCCGGAAAAGAAATTTTCTTCACTACAAGCGTCTTATCATGTCAGAATTAATGAGAGATTGGATTCCAAGTCAATGCCTTAATGATCTTGTACTCGATTCTTGGTGAGGTTATCGGTGCACACTGCTAGAGAATAATAAACTAGGACAGAATAACTATCTGTCACTTCTGGTGTTGTTCTGTGACGAAATCCATCTCACAAAGAGTATATTTGTCAAAGTCAACTCACTAGAATGGTAAGAGTTTATATTCACTACGGTTCATGTTCCCTTCAATACTGTGTATTTAACATTAGATAGTTGCCATTTTTTTATTTTATATATTTACTGGACTAGATTGTCTTTTAACGCTGACAAACATTTTTTTCTTTCAGCAATACGTTCGTTATCTTGGTCAAATTAGTCAGCATAATCAGAGTCGTAATTGTTTCGCATTTGCTATACAACCAACTCATAAGTATACAATATTGGGTTCAGTTTTTCTTGAAGCTTATTACACAACATTTGATCAAGAAAAAATGCAGGTAAATCACTAAGTATTAATACCTCATAAGTGTGATCAGATGATATTGAATAAAATTCATTCACGGAGGCTGCAGCCAATTAGTTTTAACCATAACATTTAGAGTTTTATGTCAATTTTTGCCTCATCGAAGACTAAGGATCCACGTTCACTTTATATGACTGATAACAGAGTATAAGTATTTAGTAGGAGATGTTATTCAGTCACATTTATATTTCTGAAAAGATGGGCTCCCTTTTGCAATACTTACAGCTTTATATTTATATCATATTATTTGTGGAAACCTATTCATGATAAATCATCCATGTATAGTTCAAGATCACTTTTCAATCCACTGGTATGTTGGAAAAGATATATAGATTACAACCAGTATCACCCTACGGTTCTATGTACCTGGCCTTCTTGTTTATTAAAACCTTGACTGGTGACACAACCGATTTTATTTATATGCAAAGTGAAATGTTCCCTCTAAATGAACAAGACTTGAATCAATTCCTGATCCTCATTATAAAGATTCCATATTTCAGCGAAACAATGCTCACTAACCGCACACCTGGTACGAGGTTCGATTATCGGCCGATGCTCTCCTTTACCTTCATTAACCGGTAGTAAGCCCCAAAAAGAGACAAAGTTGCGGTGAGACTAACAAAGCCACCTCGCATAAAAAACATCGTGGCTACTGAAACTTCGGGACTCCAAGCCTAAAACCCTATGTTCTGCTTTTAAAAACGTAAAGAAATTTTTTAAAAACTGCAGTTAGTTGGTTTGTCTTCTTCAGAGATTTCTAAAATCTTTCCTCCAACCAGAAATATATCTAAAAAGTCTATCACTATCTTTCATTTCTACTGGTGGCATCTTAAAGTACAATCCGCTTTAATTGTATATTATTTTTTCACTTCAAGAGTCTATTCTGTAGTAATAATCAGCCTCAATAAGTTTACTCATATTTGTGACTTCCCGTTGAAATATCTATAGCAAGTTGATCACCCCCAGTCTGAATTATAGGCTGCTTGAATGGATGTCCCAATATTGCCAGGATTAGTAACTGGAATCATATTTATGATTTTTCAGCCAGATGTACCTATTCGTCAGTGAGCGAAGGTCTCCCCAATCAGCCTGAAACACATCACCTCCTGCTTCAAACGACCAGACGATGAGGTTGCAAAACTACCCCATGTGCAGCATGTATCATTTAACATTGCTGATTCGCTTTTGTAACTTCCCACTGAAAAACATGTAGTGAATAGAACGTATTAAATTCTACTACTTACTAGCTGCCATTAAACATGTAACCTTAAGTCACTGAGTCCACTTTCATTACTATTATTCCCTTACCTCCTGAATGGGACGTATAGCTTCATCAGCGCATATCCATTTCATTCCGTTCTATGCGTTCCTTTATAATGGGCTCCACCACTGTCCACAAGCTCTCACTTCCTCTTCACATGATCTGCTTCATATCACTCTTGGTTCAACGCTGAAATCGTCCCTTTGCAATCCAGTGCCATTCAAGGGCCTGCCTTGCATGTGATGTCACTCACTGATGCCTCCTCAGTGAATATATATAGTCCATCTCCATTTTGGCGAAAGGATCTTGCTGATAGAGTTCATTTTTCAAGTATTGGTTTTGTAGGGATTTTGTTTGATTGAATGGAAGATTTCATCACCAGCTTACATCAGTTAGAGAACCACTGGAAAACCTGGGAGTACTGGACAGCTGTTTCGTCCTAGTTTGGAATTCAAGGACCACTGGATCGGGTCCAGTGGCTTAACGGTCTACGAGCTCGCCTTGTAGCCAGAAGGTGGGTGCGTACTGATGAAGTCCCAAACTGGGACGAAACAGCTGTCCAGTACTCCCAGATTTTCCAGAGTTTATTTTCGTCAATCTGAAACTAGTCTTCAATATCGAGTCATCGAAGGCAGCTGTTGATGGCAGTTTGAAGCCTGCTAGAAAGGCCTTCCAAGACGTGCTCACCAAATCTCTAAAACATATAGGAGAACTGACTTGGCAGTATTGCTGAAAACCCTAATCTTTTCCCCGTTATTCTGAGCGTAGCAGATTTCCACATCGATTAGAGATTAATGCAGGTCTGTCTCGCTTTTCCAGTCATCACTGGCTTTGAAATTTTCAACTGTGCCGCTTGTAGTTTACTTCAGTAGTATATTCAACCGAAATTACAATAGATTGTAATATTTTGTAAACATTTTATTCAATAAATAATCATAAGAGGCAATTATCAGTCAAGGATAGAAAAAAGTGATCAGTTATGTATAGTGTTCTCTCTCTCTCGCCTAAAATTTCTGCCTCTTTCCAAACAATGAATTTATCAATTAAACTCAGCAATACTTCATTTTCTTATCGATCTTATTGTTACAGTTTTTGTATAGACAGGTTCAAAGTAAACAGTTAACCGACATCTAGAAAATGGGAAACCGAGGTCACGTGTATTAGAAAAGGCGTAGCTATGTAAGAAGCTATTCAAATGAGCAAAGTAGGCTATTGTGACAGGAAAATAAAAGTGTTATAGGTGCAATCCATTTCTCAATTTAAAATAACGTATAAATACGCCTTTTAAAAACAAAATATCTATGTTTCTCAACAGCTGACTTGTAGAGATCTGATTTATTTTAAATCTGATCACAAATAAGGAATCCTGGAAAGCCGTTTCGTCCTGGCTTGGGACTCTTCAACAGTAAGCAACCACTGTAGTTTGAACCCAGGACCTTCCGGTTACAAGTCAAGCTCGTTGACCATTCAACCTCTGGGACCCAATTCAGTGGCGTGTGCATTCTGATTTCTAGCAATTCGTGATTTTAGCGCGACCAAACTAGGACGAAATAGCTGTCCAGTACTTCTTAGTTTTGAGATGGTTGTCTAACTGATATCGAACCATGATCAAACTTGAAAATATTTATAATTCTTGATGCTGTATACTACTGCTTGGTTGACGTGAATAGTACGTTCTCAATTCGCAAAAGAAATATAATTTCTGTTTTACAGAATCAGCAGTTCATAAAAACCGTTTTTGCTAATTATAAAAGTGAGTGGTTCTTATAATCTATACCCCGTCAATAAAGGAAGACAAGTAAAAATAGATTCATTAGAACAGGATTGATTGAATTCATAAATTTTACTAGAACTCCCCCACCCTATCACTTTACATGCGTCATTTTAGACACTGTTATGAGATAAAAGAGTACATGCATACAATACATAGACCAGAATACCAAATGAAGCTTGACAACACAATGAGAAGAAATAGAAGGTGGCACTGTTGGCCTACACTCTTGGATTAAATGACTCATAAAAGTTAAACAGAACTATGAATAGATTGAAGAAACTGATAACAGTACACGAAATCGTGTAGAGCAAAAGAAATGCTGAAGATTTCAAATGAAACTCAAGAATATACTAAAAACCTGTCTGTTCCAATGACTTTCGTTACTTATTTCAAATAAGTAGAAGAATTTAAATTAAGGTAATATAAATATACCCTGTCTAGTCTACTAACCAATCCTAAGCTCGGAAAGACGAAAGAGTGGACTAGGGGAAGCAACCTAACTTTGTAAAAGTGTATCCACATCGCTAAAAAAAACTCTAAAGCATAGAAATATCAAACTTATTCTCCTCTCGAATCGAGAAAACTTGTCATTTCGAGGAAGGATAACACTAATAAATGAAAGCCTTTGGGAAGTCAGCCGGTTGACGTAAAAATCGGAACAAAACAAACACTAGGCCGATCACTTGGAAAGACTCTTGAGTCGAACACCCGCTACAACTCCTCCATCATTATAAACAAAACCACTAGTAAACGCCAACCTGCTAGTGAAAACAGAAGTCCTGAAAGCCATACAGTTAATGGCAGCTGGAAAAGCCACAGGATCAGATAAAGTCCCACTAGATGCACTGAAAAAATGACTCGGAGACTTCAACTGACATGGTCTTGTCACTACTGCATAAGGTGTCGAAGGGAAGAAAAGGCCAACTTGTCGAACTGTCGGAGATAGGCGATTTAAGCCCATGCTAATATGGTGTCATACTTCTATCCACTCCAAGAAAAGTATATGGCCTCATAATCCTTAAATGACAAATAGATCACCTGTATGGAAAACTCTGCCCCCAGATTAGGTGCACCCAGAGTTAAATTGCAATACCACACATCATCATTGAACAGAGCCTTAAATGGAAATTGATTCTATAAAACAACAACTTCATCGACTTCGAAAAGACCTTTGGTAGTGTTGACTGAGAAGTAACTTCAACACTGAGGAATATTCATTAACCAGATTCAGCAGCCATTTGATGATTCCACATGTCAAGTTATTCACAACAGAAAGCTGAAGAAAAAGCCTGAAGTGAAAACGTAAGACAATACTACCTAATATCACAATTGATTTTCCAGATTGCCGTGTACTGAATCATGCTGCAGACCATGGGAAATCAAGAAGATGGGAATGTGTTAGACTGACAGAAATCTGGATTCTGAGAATGATATCTGTCTCAAGTCTCACAAACTCCAAGATTTACAAGCTCTAATCTAACAAGCTGGCAGAAAAGTCAGGCAACGAAGACAGGACTTCAGGTGAACTTGGACATGGCAGAAGTGGTAAAGATGCCCAAGTAGGATCAATCATCATCAACGTGAGAAACCTAAAGAAAGTCGTCTTTTCACTTATTTAATCTTGACAGAATCATTTCAACTACAGACGACACGAACGAGAATGTCAAAACAGGGCAAATATCCATTACTGGGAAATTGGTGGGGAGATCTCCAGTACACGGATGTGAATTTTCAAGATGAATTTGAATTCATAAGTCAGTGGATTCCACCCTAATGGCTTAATGGTCAGCTTGAAGATCGATGATTTGGTCCCTGGTGTAGTCATTAGTACACACTACTGGAGAGTCTAAACTTGGATGAAACAACTCTCCAGTTCTTCCGGATTTTCAAAAATTCTCTAGTTGATGTATACTCACCACGAGTCACTTGTTTTATTTGACGACTAACTACACTTTAGACAACAGGATTTTCATCATAAGCTGACATTAGTTAGAGAACCACTGGAAAACCTGGGAGTACTGGACAGCTGTTTCGTCCCAGTTTGGGACTCTTCATCGGTACGCCGGGATTCAAAATAGCTGTCCAGTACTCCCAGGTTTTCCAATGGTTCTCTAACTAATGTCAGCTGATGATGAAAATCCTGTAACCAATCAAATCCCTACAAACCAACACTTGAATACACTTTAGACTATGGGTTTTGTAGGGATTTAACTTCAGATTTCTTCACAAATCAGTGTTAGTTATAGAATCATTGTAAATAACAGAGTTCTGGACAAATGTTTCGTACTACTTATGAACTTTCCAACAATACTCGCTGACAAAACCATCAGAGATGAACCTGGGATCTTCAGGTTACGAAGTCAGCTCGCTGACAATTCGACCACTTGACCCACAGTTCTATAACTTGTGATATAGCGCTACTGCCAACCAGTTTCATGAATGAGCCCCCACTTCATCAGGACATGGTGAACCTCACTGGGCATGACTCCTTATTATGACTTCAGACATTCATCCAGTAGTTGCCAATAATCTGGATATTGAAAAAATAAAATTATCTGTTTTCGTAGGATTTGGAGGCAGCATTCATGAGTTTTTAAAGTCCAGCTCAAGTGACCGAATATTCACTGAGCTGGTCTCGTCACTTGAAAATCCTAGGTTCGACCACCTGCTGAGTAGTCTCGAGCTAAGACAAAACAGAAGTCCAGTAATGATTCCATATTAGTTTGTTTATTAGATGTATCACACAGTGGAGAGACAGTATTATTTACTGGATGACATTTCGAACAAAAATAATTGTCCATAATCATATCATCCATTATAATCACACGACTTGGAAACTTGAGTTTTATGGTTTCCTTTGTTCTCTCCTATTTGTCGTCATCGGGGTAGTAGAATTTTACAGATTTCTACCTGGACAGGTGTTGAATCATTCCTATTACACGTGTTTGCAGTTGATTCGATAAACAAAGCTTCTGTTATCAATCTCTCACTCCATTCACCCTGTTACATTGGATATTAAAACTGTCATCTTATCCCATCCTATTGTATGGTTGTGTGTGACTGCATGTAGTGCTATGGCTGAGCTGTTCTCTAGATTTCTTATCTTATTTGGGTCAACCAATCTAGATTTTGCTACTAGGTTTTCATGCTCAGCTAGTCTGACTGCCCCTGTTCTACTACTTTGACCTATGTATTTGAGCTGACAATCATTCCAGCAGGGTATTAGATAAACTAAATTGTTTTGTTCTGACAGGGGTAGTCAGGCTAGCAGAACATAAAAACCTAGCAAAATCTAGATTGTTTGACCCAAATAAGATAAGAAATCTAGAGAGTAGATCAGCTATAGCACTACATGCAGTTACACGCAACCATACAATAGGATGGATGGGATAAGATGACAGCTCTAAAATCTAGCATAACAGGATGAAGAAAGAGACTGATAACGGAAGCTTTATTTATCGAATCAGCTGGAAATATGTGTAATAGGAATGATTCAACACCTGTCCAGGTAGACATCTGGAAAATTCTACTACCCCGACGACGACAAATAGGAGAGAACAAAGAAAACTATGAAACTCAAGTTTTGAAGTTGTGTGATTATAATTGATGCAATGATTATGAACAATAAATTTTGTTCGAAACATTGTCATCCAGTAAATAATACTGTTTCTCTCCACTGTGTAATATATCTAATAAACAAACTAGTATGGAATTACTTACTACCACAGTGTCCAGTAATGATGTCTATCCATAACAAAGTTTTGTATTCAAAACGCTTGTTCTTATTCCCTCTTTCTCTCTCTGTTTAATTTCCAGATAGGATTTTCCAATTCACCGTGTAATGCATACACAAATAATCCAAATCTTTTAGTAGTATCTAAGGTGAATGGATTAAAACACTGGAATAATACACAAAAGTTCATATCAGAGACAAATAGATTAATAACGCAAAGGTTTGCTATTCAATCACCATTAGATTGTGCCGTTTACACACCAACTACAGATGAACAATTCGCCTTAATTTCAAATATTCTTACATATACTATTTGGTCATCTCTGTCTATCTATGCTGTTTTGATTCCTTTATTGATTTTATTAAATATAAAGTTTTTTTAATTGAAAATAATTAGTGAATTATTTCATGGAATTTTATTGTTTATATTACATAATCACACATTTGAATTACGTAATCATTACTGTTATTTTTGGTTAATTCACCTCTTTGTCTCTCATCAGTGAGGTATTTATGTATAAATAATTGAACTAAGTAGAATTGATACTCTAGAACAAACTGAACAAAACTGTATAAATTCGAGTAGATGAAATTCACATATTGCGAAAATATTCATTCAAACATCCATAAAACACAAAATATAATTGAGCAAAGAATATCCTTTTTGATAATTTCCTCTTCTAGCTCTACAATTATATGTATATGCATGTTTATATACATAAAATATTCTAGAATAGTAGTCAATAACAATATTAGTGTTTTTTAAATAATACCGATTTGTAAAGTATGGTCAGTGCAATTACAGTTGATTAAAGACGCCGAAATAATAATAATAATAAAGATATAGTAGCAACTAAAATATCAAATAAACTTAGGCAAATTCCCACAAATTGAAGATTATTCCAACCTAGATAGTCAAGGTAAGGATAATGTCTGAACTAGCTAATTTTGGGCGCATATATTAGGCTTCTTTATTTGGATCTTAACAGTCTCAGAAATATTTAGGAAACGAACTCTTACGGCAAAGTTAAGATTTGTTGGTACGTAGTAAATAACTCTGAAAGCCTGGTTAACGTCAATCTTGTGTTCTGTATCCACAAGATGAGATAGAATAGCGCTACGAATAGATTTTGTTTGTCCTTTACTTAACCACCACTAAGCAGGGTGATGTTCGGAAATCTGACGAGAAACATGCCTAAGTGTACGCCTATGTAACTGGCTCATTCCATAGGAGCAGTTAAATTGGTAGGCGCACATAGAAGAGGCAAAATTAGGCACTTCATCTTTTGAATGATTAGAAATATCCATTAAAATTTAGAAAAAAAATGGATACTTAACAAAGAATTCTCTTTTCGATAACCCCTTCTTCATCAGGCTCTAAAGTTATGTACACACTATAGTGAATGAGTGAATTAGTGTTATAAACAACATTAATGCTGTTTAAATAAAATCGAATCAATAATAGTATCAATAAATTACAGTTCATTAGCATCAACATAAAATAAGCTGAATGTCAGGAAAATTAGTAAAGATAATATTACAAATTCATGAATTTCTAGTCTCTACTGAAGGCCAGACAGGGCAGTAGTAGGGGCTAGCTGGACTTGCTTCTTTTGCACACAAAGCACTGGTTGTTTGAGGCGAATTGCAATAGCCTCTGCTGTTTGGAGCATGAGATGCTTCGATGATTTTTGTAATTTATTAGGCATCTGGTAGATGATAGAGAAGGATTCTTCTACACTGGCTTTGTGGGCGATTTGCACCAGATGGTCCAATATCGAACTGTTAATGGTTTTAATTACACCTTTACTTAGCCATACTTATAGATGTTCTCAACCACTAAAAATCAAGTTCCTAGAGCAACGGCCAATATAACTCGCTCCACCATCAGTGCAGATGAATTGTTAGATACAATGTGAAGTGGCTAGTCTAGATACTTCATCTTTCAGTCGAGGAATCATCATCGACTACCACCGCATTCCTAAGTCACTGTGTTGAACTGCAATTTCATTGTTCTTAACAGATCGACAGTATGTATCGATATTATTTAAAAAACACTAATATTGTTATTGACTACTACTCTAGAATATTCTATGTATATAAACGTCTACCTATAATTGTAGAGCCAGAAGAGTAAATTATCGAAAGGGATATTTTTTGCTCAATTATTTTGTGTTTTATAAAATTCATATAAGCACAAATGTAAGTGGAGAAAAAGAAGCATGATGAAATTACAATAAAGGAAAGTGGACAAGATTAAATGAAGATTAGTGATGATTTTCGCAATCTGGGAAATCACAAAAAGTTAATAAGTCTCATCTTTATTTCGTATAGGTCTTCTACCACGAAGTAATTTGCATACTTCTTCAACCCTACGGGGTGTCCCAAACATATATCAATCTTATTTTGAACAGCTGTATGATTATAATGCCATATGCTGCCAAGTAATTCATAACGGGAAACTCAAAAGAATCTTCGAAATAGAGACAGAAGTAAAACAGGGTTGCCTACTATCATTGATGATACTCCTGATTGTGGTAGATTGGATCATGCTTCATATCGTAGAGAGCTAGATAACGGGCATACATTGGACTAACAAAAAGAATCCAGAAGATCTCGACTTCGAAGACGACTTGTATGTAGTGTCACACAAAGTCTAAAATTTACAGGAGAAAACCAAAGATTTTCCGGAAGAGAAAGTAGCGGCAGGATTTCAGTTGACCATATAGAAGACTGAGGTGGTGAATACATTCGAGTGACTATCAGTGACAAGCGTCTAACACTATCAGCAGGAGAAATCTAAAAATAAATCACCTCTTCCACTCTGGTAGCATAATTTCAACTGACAGTGACACGGATGATGATATCAGAGACGGAATCAAGAAATCGAGATAGGTGCTTATTCTACACGAATCAGTTTGGAGATCCAGTGCATACACCACGAGAAAAAGATATCTGAATTTTCAACACTAGTGTCAATTCAGTGCTTTGATATCCTGCAGAGAGATGACATCCGCATCACTGAAAGCATTTCCAACAGGCTACTGCAAATTTTCGTCAACATGTACCTTTGCTGATGAAGATCGAATAGCCGGTCAGGAAGAATAAGTAACTAGAAACTCAAGTAACAAAGGGAACAAGAACTAATCATCCAATAAATATGCTGAAGGAAATAAAGACGGACTGGAAACACACTGACGAGACCACTGAGCGACATCAGGAGCCAGGTCATTAAGTGGGAAACGGCGAGTCCACCTTCGGTTTACAGGTGACGTAGAAATCATATGAAGAGACAATGAAAGCTTATGGGCAGACAGCCATGAGTATGGTTAAGTGATGGTATGCTTCTGAAGCCCTATGTTCCATATGGAAGCCAAGGGTGACGAGTGTCAGCCGCGTCACCAGCATGCTGTAACCTTAGATCCGACCGGTCAGTTCCCTGCACTCTATACGATTCAAACTACCAGCTCAAAGAATTTCATGGAGTACAAGTAGACTCGATATATGAAGAACGCATGACCCAGTCACCTCGATCAGTCAGTAAAATACTTGACAATTATTTAGTATTGAAATCTTGAAATTCAACGCCTACAGCTTGTGTCTGCTTCAAACTCTACGACAATATATGTCAGATTTCTACTATGGCTTTGTCCATCACCGAACTATCATCAAACTTCTGTTAAAATTAGGCTATCTGACATAACCTGAATAACATTTAGTCCTTTTTATTATTTAACCCTTGCAGTGACACAGGTTTGCCTATATTATACTATCGCATACTAAAGATAGGTCAAATAAATTTCGTAAGCCAGCTTATGTATCATCATTCTTACATTTGTTAATACATATGAAGATTTCTATGGTAATATGCTCCTGGTACATAACTCTTGATAGACAACCCTCTAAAATCTGAAGTTAACTCAGAGACTTGTATAGCAGCTCAGTGACAGTTAATAATACTTATGTTAACTGACTGATGAAGTAATCCTTTTTTTTAAAATACTCTTCATAGAAGTTTCAACAATTAGCAAACGTACTATAAATCAAGAAATATTATGGAATATTATCATAACAAGCAATATAATGTAGTATCTTTTTGACTGGATTTTCCGCCCTTTTGAACCACTGTTGTTATAAAGTCCATTTAGTCACATGGGATGACAGTTAAGGTATACCAGAAAGTAGAAGTTTTGGAAGTCGCGAGACAATTATGCACTAACACACGATCCAGTAGTCAAACATTATCCCACTGACCTCGAGAAAAGATGCCTTCCTCTGTTGTAAAATCATAGGTATACATGACGGAACTGTCCTCTAGTAGGACAAAGCAACTGTGTACAGTTTCTTGGTCTATACTAGTTCTTTACGTGACGTCACTTTGTGATAATTCTACCTAGAAAACATCAGTAGAGGTGAATCAAGTGACTGTCTTCCATTAAAAATGTGTTTGTCTCAAGAAAACTTAACTCAAAGGACGCTCAATATACTGTAATTACAAATTTCACTCAACACTTGTGCTAGTTTAAATGCTAGTAAAATAGAGTGTTTAGGTTCAGTAAATTAAAGATGACATCTGGTCTCTCTCTCTGTGTCTGAATATAAGTGTGATCAAACAGTATAATTTAGTTCTGTTCATTGAAATACCCAAAAGTTGATTCTTAGGCGGACTGCAAAGAGTAGAGAGTGGGTTTTCTTTTTTTACTTGACAGTTGCATAATAGTGTCGAATTTGATTTCCACATTTAAGGATTTGCAATGCTTTTGCATTCAGTCATTTTGTGAAGAAATCTATTTCCAAAATGTTTGCATACTCTAATACTCAATGGTTTCTTGTGATAGTTATCCATAGTATTAATACTGGATGATTGAATTATAAATGTGGAACTTTGCACAAAATTGTATCTCTTCAAATTTCCGAACCTCACAAAAGCTCACATAAAAGTGGATTAAAGAAATGTAATGGAATAACAATGGCCGAAGACGTAAAGGAGAGATACAGGTACTACTGCAACGATAGAAGATAAGGGCTAGGTAACAAATAGTTTATTGAAAAAATCAACAGATATTTATCGATTTCTATGTATATTATTAGTGCTATTGTTAGCAGAGAAACAACGTCTTCTGATTGGTTGTTTTCTTGCTGAAGGTTACTCTGTACTGCTTGTGACCGTTTCTTAGAAAGTTAAGCCATACACCAGCGAATCGTATTTGCACATGTTAAATCTGCTGTGATTGGTTGGGGAGTTCCTCATGTTTAGGCTTTTTTATTGTTTCTTCTCATGACCCTGATTCGGAGCGTAAACATCGACGTAAATTCTTGTCTACAACTTTGGCTAGCAGACAGCTCTCATCACAATACTAACCTTTTAATTAGGATGGACGTCTAACTTGCACAGCGTACTTTCATCACTATTGATGCTAAGTGAAAACTAGTTTGTTTTATGTACCTATATGGAAAGGAGACATAGCCACCGTCTCCCTAGTCAAATAATGCTAGCTGACATATAAGATTAGATTGTAAAAAAACTTTGCTTTGGGTTACCCACGCAGGAAAGTGTAGACTGCCTTATTGAAGTCCTTGAAATAATAAGAACCAGTAGTTTAAGGCTGTTAGTGATATAGCTCAAAATAGTTCTCAGTGATACATATGCATCTACTCTTTGTAATCTTTCAATTTCAGCAAGTCATCACATTTCTCCATGAACTTTTTATTCCTCCCCCGTCCATTACAGTTCCTTTAGATTTACTTTCCTTTTCTCTGTCTTTGTGTACTCTACGGAGTGTGGCAATTTGAAACGTTCAAACTCAGCAAATCAGCTCACTGTGACCGAAAAAAGCCGTCAATACCATAAAGCCAAATGGCTGGCTTCAATGAGCATCATTACTAGTAACCACTTTGGAGACGAAATCACATCATAGATACAAAAGCTTCCTGAAACGCTTAGTCTGTAACATTTACAGAGTTAATACGATAATTGATTACCATTCAAAATAAAAATGTGCCAATAGGCAGTCAGCTTTGTAAAACCCTAATACAACTATTGAGAAAGTCATAAAATCTTAATTGTAGTTCACCCCAAAACACGTTTGGCAATCAGCTCGTCCAGATGTTGTTCATTGTCAAGGTGACAGACAGATCCCCAAGGCATGAAATTCAATCAGTCGCAGAAGTTACTAATTTCCAACAGCTGATGGGCCCAGATATCTTGCAAAGACAGACATCCTATCCCATTGGTTGCTTTGTGGTGGTGTGATACAGACAATGTCTGCCAACGGAATATTATGCTCACATATTCCCCCAGTTCAATACTGCATACAATATACCTGTTTGAAGATTTGATTTGATGTTAGAGACAGAATACATTTCTCATGGTATATACTACATAAACAAAAGAATACTGTGTATATTTGAACATGCCATTTCATGTTGTTTGATGTAAACAGAAACCACACGCTCGGTGATTGGTTAACGAATATAAACTGTAGATGTATAAACAGCGGTTTCGCTAATGAAAAATATACCTTGGATCCCGTGTCTTGCCTTCTGTTGTTACACCTTTATTAACATAAAATTAGGTGTAACTCATTAACGGTCAGCTGTTATTGGCCCATCTGTCGGTAATAAGCAGTGCAGACTGCTTGATTTAAATTTTCGAGTTGTTAGAAATTAAAATTTCAAGACTATCAAAACTAAAAGGCACAAAATTTTAAAATTTCCATTAGTCTTTACATAGTCGCCATTTATTTTCACACAATTGTTCTCCTGACTTCACTGAATTTACAAGGAATACACGTTGCGACTGTTATGACGAAAAAAACTCAATCGGCTTAGGAAAGTGAAATACACCTTCTTATTAAGCTGCAGAATTTCATCAACACCTGCCTTCGTGCTTTCGATTCTTAAGTTCGGATAGCGGGTTAGAAAACATTAATACCTAGGTACCCAGACAACGAATCAATCAGGAACCTATTGCGTAACAAATACGCCGGAGGAAACCGGGATGGATTGGGGAGACACTGAGGAGACCATTTAGTGAAATCACACGCCAGGCCCTGGAGTGGAACACGCATGGGAAGAGACTAGCTGGGTGCTAATCCGTCTACTCTTATAATCACCGAATAATTGACTGTTAACAAATTTATTTTATTCCTTCACGTTCCCAATGGAACATAGGGCTTCAAGCTATAGGCTTGAAGTTTCGGTAGCAGTGATGATTATTTTTACGGGATGGGGTTGCTAGCTTCATGCCCAACCTTTCCTCTTTCAACCAGTCTTATTACTGATATAGCAAGGTAAAGGAGTGCGTCGGCTGAGGATCGAACCCCGGACCGACTGCGTAATAAGTGAACACTCTACCTGTGCCACCGACGCACAACCGTTAAAAAATACATAAAAATAATTCCTAACTACTAAGTGGTTGTGGGTCATACAGCAGAAAGTGGGGGAGTGAGATGGTCATAAGTTGAACTGATGAAAAAATACTAGAAGATGTGGACTTCACCGATGTTTCATGTAATCTCTGTGCTCGAAACTTGGTCTTCAGTAAAATATGACTGTACAACACTGCAACCAGAAAAAACTATTGCACAAGAAATATGCCGAATAAAATGAAGATAGATCGGATACACGCTGAGAAGACCACTGAGTGGCATTAAGCGCTAAGCTGGTTCTCAAGTGGAACCCAACTAGAAAACGACGAGTTGGCCACGTGTCTGAAAGGCACACGCAGAAGATCATGTGGAGAGGAAATGAGAGTCTGTGGGAAATCGTCAAGCAAGAGCAGCTAAAATAGACATCAGTGAACTGAGTGAATTAGAGAAGTGCTACTGAAGCCAAACATATAATAAGTAACTGGTTAGAGACAGTCGACAAGATGCCTTTTGACTGAATAATTCGGCGGTAATATCTCTATGTGTAGTACTAAATGACATGAGTTCGAATATTCGAGAGAGCAAAGGGGAGAGAGTATCACTTGCTTTAAGGTTACAGACACAAACACACTTACGTATATACCTTACTGACCAGTATCACAATATTAGCATACAACTTAAAATATACAACATCTCACCAACTACCACCTCGAATCAATCACCTAACATCTATTCAAACTGAACCGAAAAGGCTTAACTGATAAAACTGCACACACACTCATAACTCGATTCTGTTAATCAATTTATTGAAGAAACACATTTTTTTATACACATCTTCAAAAAGATAAAGTACATCATTTTAAATCTATTTTAATAGAAAACATAAATAGTAGAAGAATAGAATCAAATAAATGATTATTTAACTGTAGAAATATACAACAGCAAATATATTTTTTGCTACAATATATATATATATATATATGTTGTGATGATAACTCTTCATCAACTAACTAATTGATAACGTCTAACACGTGACGAAGAGGAAGAAGAATAAGTGTGTGTGTGTGTGTGTGTTTACAACTTTCCATCCACTAGGCGAATAAATATTTATTGATTTGTTCAATGTTTCAATAATCCGGCGTAACTTTCAAATAATATATTGAGCGGGAAAATGAAAAGAAGGGAAAGAGAAGGAGGGAAATTTGAAGATAAAAAGGAAAATCTTAAGTTTTAACAAAAAATTACACATGTTCTTTATTATGTATTAATTTAATAAGGTGACAGAATAGTAAATAGTAATAACGATAATAATAATAATAATATTAATGATTGTCATTATTATTGCATACCAGTGTAGCAATCTATCAACGGATAGATAGACAGATAGATGGGTGGGTGGGTGGACATAGTGAGAAATAAATATCCAGGGCTAGGGTAGGGTAAAGGATTGATGGATAGCACAAAACTGAGTAATGAACCAATTAATTATATGGATGTATATAATAGATAAGTTGGCTGCTTGATGAAGGCGACAAATCATAAAAGGAAGAAGAATATTCACCACTCTCGTTTTGTACACTTCCATACAAACTCACAGAAAGACTCAGAAAAAAAATAATAATAAAATAAGCTAAGGAAATCAGCAAGTTCATTGAAAATTAAAACAAGTGATGATAATAAAAGTTTCCATTTTATTTGATTTCACTAATCACTATGGTAATAGTAATAATACTAATAGTAATAATAATAATAAATTACAGTAATAAAATAGAATTTTTCTTTAAAAAAAATCTAAAAATAAACGAATAAATGAATAATGAGTGTGATTCAAAGCATGTCAACTCAATTTCTCTTTCATTAGCTCTTCTTTTACTTCCATTAATCATCGTGTAACAGGATACTTTGAATAATTTTCAATGGGATATTAAATGTATCATCATTGACAAGAACTATATCATAGACAGATTGAAATCTCTCCAAGTTTTCTTCAATCTAAATGTGAGTGGAAAAGAAAACAATGTTGAGCAATGCAATGCAATCATAATAAATTATTTAATTGAGAAGAAAATCTGACTGGTTGAAGGTTGTTGTGGGAGGTGGTGGTGGTGGCTAGCAGTGGAATCCAAGAGGCTCGCGCGTTTCGTCCTACCTAGGACTCGTCAGTTGGATGTACATGGAGCTGGCAGAAGCAAGTAAACCCGAACAGGATGCAATACGCGTCTTGGATTTCATATCTATCCACTACCAACACTAATCAGCTAACACATTAAATTAATGTGAAGACATTCTTCAAGTGTCTGTAATGGTGTGGTGAGAGCTGGCTGCTAGCCAAAATTGGTAGGTAGCAATTTACGTCAATGTTTACGTCCCAAATATTGCTCGTGAGAAAAATACGAACAAAGACTTTGCGTAGGCGGATACATTTAGCATATAGATGATCTAACATTCAAGAAACAGTCACAAAGAGATGAAATGTCAACGTTCAGCGAGGAACAACTAATCAGAAGACTGTTTTTCTGCTAACAATAATCTAAAATAATGTACATGAAAATCTATCAATATGTGTTGATTTCCTCAATAAAAGATCTGTTGCCTGGCCCTTGTCTTCTGTAAAAGTACTCATCTCAATCATTCAGTAGTAAATAGTTTTTTGAGCGTGAGATTAGTTTCCAAGTATTAGTTTGTAGGAATCTAATTGGTTTAAATTTTGGCCACCAAATGATATCAATTAAAGGACTGCAGAAAACTAGGGAGTACTGGACAACCGTTTCGTCTTAGCATGGAACTCTTCAGTAGTACGCAACCAGGACTCAGATTTACTTCTAAACAAAGTCGAATAAAAGAAGAAGTAAACCAGTCACTTGCGGTCATTAATTTTAATACGTAAAATAAGTGTACAGTATCCTTTAAAGCTGTACCACTCATAAAGATCCTTCCGTTTCGACTGATATATAGGGTTTCCAGAGCTGCAGTCTCAGTAATGGTACTATTTATCTCATTTTATAGAGAATGGTTGCTAGCCTCACACACCTTGCCCACTTTTCCACGCTTACTACTGTCGGCTGGCTAGTGAACCAGGTTAGGCGTAAGAGCGGGCCGGAAGGAAGTCAAACCTAGACCTCCCCCACCATACGGTTGGCTAGCATTCTATCATAACATGGATATTTCAAAAATATACACTTGAAGACACTTCATTATTAGGACACTTATTTGGTTATATAGTGATGTAGCTAATTAGTTTAAACATTCGACATTCAACCAGCTGGTCTCAGGGTTTGAACCGAAATCCACCTGCTATCCAACGATCGAGCAGTGTCTTCAGTCCTCAAACCAGAAGTCTGTAGCTGATATCCTAATGCATGAAAACTTTATTTCGAGGAGTTGAGTGCCAACTACTGATTAAATATTGGGGTTAATAACAAAGAATGTTTGATCAGAGATTGACATCAATTAGAGAACGATTGAAAACCAGGTAGTACCTGACCAGCACGTGCGTCGGTGGCATAGCGGTCAGGACGCTCGCCGACCATGCACATGGTCCGGGGTTCGATCCCCGGCCATAGACGCACTCCTTTACCTCGCTAAGCCAGAAATAATGCCGGTGAAGAGGAAAGGGTGGCCATGAGGCTAGCAACCCCATCCTGTGAAATAAACACTGCTACAGAAACTTCAAGCCACTAGCTTGAATCCCTATGTTCCACTGGGGAACGTGAAGGAACAAAAAAAACTGGCCAGCAGTAGGTACCCATCATCCCACTAGAGGTGAAATCCAGAACATTTAGGTCACACGGAGTGCTCTTTGACCATCCAGCCACTGGGTCGAAATTCGATGGCCTATCAATTCTAACTACTGGCAATGCAGTTCAAACTTGAAATCCCAACCAATCAACACACTTGAAACGAAAGACTTCATCAACATGTTAATACTACTACAAAAACAAAAATCCCTTGAAACTCGACATAGCCTTACTCCTTCATTTAAAAAGCCAATACGCAGGACAGTACCAAGTTGGCCAGTAGGATCATCAATTGTCGCTCCATCTGCCATATGTATATCACCAGTGGAATCACCAAGCAGTAGAACATTTGGTCGTTTTGGTAAACCATTATTTACAACAATATTAGCTGTTTTATTGAATATATGAATAACTGGTGAAGTGAATCCAGTCAGTTTACCCTTTACAAAAGAATGCAAAAAAAACAATAATAATAATAATAATATCAAAAGCAAAATGCAGGAGAATAAGAAGGAATAGAACACGTTGATTTCATAATATTAATTTGTTTATTGGATATATCATCACACAATGTCTGTCTGTCTGTCTATTTTCGACACAGAACTTTGCACCGATGTGCGGCAGTTCAAGTCGCCACACTCCCTCCTTGTAGCACACAAAGCAAGAGAAGACAGTAAACAGATAAATGAGGCAAAAACGGATAGTAATAACGAAGGACAAAATAGTTTTATTGGGGATTATAAGTCACAAGGAGTGGATGCACCTGCGCTAGCCATTGAGAACGATTTTGAGCCATAGCACCAGTTGTCTCCAGCCATTGGTATTTACCATCCCGAGGACCCTAACCAGTCAGGATTTGTACACCTTCCTGTGTGGCTGGCTGGCTTAAACTAATTGTTGTGGATTTCAATGGCTGATGAAGTCATGTTTTGGTTTGACCGCCGCTAGCTCTTTTCCAGCCTGACCCTATATCAGCTAACATTGCCCATTTTCGAGGAAGGAGATGACTAGGCATACGTAGCACATGTCCTAACCATCTCAGTCGATGTAGCTTCACATCCTCGTCGACTAATTTCCCCTCCTTACCTAGCACTCGACGCCTAACCTCAATATTGCTCACCTTATTATACCACTTCACACCGGAGATACAAAACAGACTCCTATGATCAAAGACAGCTAATCTTCTCATGTCTTTCACTCTCAATGGCCAGGTCTCACAGCCAGTCATAAATGAGGACGGAGCGGACTGCTGAGCATTACACATGCACTTTGGTTGATAGCCGGATATCACGTCTACGCCAGAGACGGCGTAAACTGCCAATTGCGAAATTAGCCTTCTGTATCCGTGGTGAGATTTCTTTAGCCATCAACCCGCTGGCACTGGCTGATGGTACTTCCCAAATAAGTGAAGTGGTCAACTTGCTGTACCACTTTACCCCCTATTTCTAAACTAGGGAGTGAAGTGGTAGAAACAGTATTATTTACTGAATAACAAAGTTATTGTTCCCAAAACTACATCATCAATTGTAACTATACAATTTCGAAACTTGAGTTTTATACTCCTTGACTTTGACCTTGTTTCTCACTTGTCTTAGGGGTAGTAGAATTCTCCAGATGTCTTGGAGAGAGAGATGTTAAATCATTTATAGTCGATTTGATAAATAAAACTTTAGTTATTAATCTCTCCCTCTACCCTTGTAAAGGAACGTGAACATTGAACGTTGGTTCGTTGGCCTTGGTAACCAGTTGGCGGGCAACTCTACGGCGCGAATGATTCAATCGTGTACAAGTTGGAGGAAGACGAACGAATACGAATAAAAGTACAGTACATTCCTTGTAAAACATTTGTTTATAGACTTCTGTGTCATTTTCGATTTTGATTGCCGAACAATATAATTTACTGCAAATACTGGTGTTTTGGAGTTAAAGTCGATAATTGATCATAGTAGTTATCGATTTGGAGCATTTTTGCAAATAATAGGAACTTAGGGTTAAGTTCCTTGACAACCCTCTTATATTAGATTTTAAGACTATCCCATCTTAATGTATGGTTGTATGTAACTGCATGTGTGTAGTGCTATACAGCTGAACTATTGTTTTTTGAATTTCTTATCTTATTAGAGTAAACTAATCTAGATTTTGTAAAGTTTTCATGCTCCGGTAACCTGATTGACTCTGTTGTACTAATTTAATCTTTGTATTATTTGACCTCATAATCATTGCAAGGCATTAGATAAACACTAAATTATTTTATTTACTGTTCTCCATGGGATTTTTTGACCAACATAATTTGTAAGTATTGGTTTTGTAGGGATTTTGTTTGATTAGTTGGAGGATTTCATCATGAACTGACATCAGTGAGAGAACCATCGGAAAACCTGCACGGAGTACTGGACAGCCAGCTGTTTCGTCCTAGTTTTGGACTCTTCATCAGTACGCACCTACCATCGAAGAAGATATTGCGAAGTGGTCGCGCTATATCGTGAATTGGCAGAAGTTAAAATTCATGGACTGGCCACTGGACAGAGTCCCAGTGGCTTAATGGTCTACGCGCTCGCTAGCCTTGTAACCAGAAGGTCCTGGGTTCGAACCGTGGCAGTGGGTGCGTACTCATGAAAAGTCCAAAGGAGCTAGGATGAAACATCTGTCCAGTACTCCCAAGTTTTCCAGTGGTTCTGTAACTGATGTCAGCTCATGATGAAATCCTCCAACCAATATAATTTGTTTCTAAATGGGTTTCAATGCAAACTCTGTCTTAAAATCGAATGCAACAGGATTGAGGGAAAGATTGATAACTGAAGTTTTGCCTATAGAATAAACTGAGAACAAGGTGTAATAGAAATGAGTCAGTATCTGTCCTAAACATCTGGAAAACTCTCTACCAGCCTTACGACAAATGACAACTATAAAAATTAAGTCTCAAATTTGTATAGTTACGATTGGTGATACGCCTAAGAGGGGTAAATTATGTTTGAAACTTTGTTATCCAAGTAAATAATACTGTTTCATTGTGTGTGGGATATATCCAATAAACAAAAAAATAATATGCAATTACATACTATTGCAGTGCCAAAGTTTTATACATATTAATTTTAAATAGAATATGTTTCGACTGATGGTTTTAAAAATAATTTGTGTTAAAAACTGCAAAGAATGGTTTATTTTTTTAAAAAAACAACGTTGTATAACGCTAGGATCGGGAAAGCAAGGCAAGCTTTCACTACTCTCAAGTCTGTGTGGAGGTCAACAGCACTCTTCAGCATGGAAAATAAGATCCGGATTTTCAACTCCAATGTGAAGTCAGTGCTACTTTACGGATCAGAGACTTGGCGCGTCATGAAGGGCACTTCGAACAAACTACAGACCTTCATCAACAACTGTCTTCGCTCAATACTAGTCATGATCAGATGGCCGGCCAGAAAAGATCAGCAACAGAGATCTCTGAGAATGAGCGAACCAACCAACTCGACAGGAACCAATTGTGCAACAAATATGCAAGAAGAAATGGAGGTGAATTGGCCATGCTCTGAGAAAACAAAAACCATCAAGTGACATCACACGCCAGGCCATCGCTCGAGTGGAACCCGAGTGAATGGGAAGCAACGTTGACATGGAATAGGTCATGCGAAGAGGAGATGAAAGCGAATAGGCAAACGTGGAGCCAGGTGAAAACGTTGGCAGAGAACCGAACACAATGGAGACGTGCGACTGAAACCCTATGTTCCTCTAGGAATTAAAGGAAACAATAATAATAATAACAAAGTGTTAAAACAGGAAGAAAACAAGCCCATTGACCTCAATTTATGACACATCACATTCTTTTTCATCTATAATTACGATTGTACAGCTCATGAAAATGAATCGTCGAAAAGAAAATTTTCTTCGCTGTTTGTGCCTTTTCTCATCTATTTCTCTCACTTTCTCCCTTTTCTTTCTTGTCCTATTTTATGTTACTGTGACACTTGATTATATTATTCTCATTTTGTTTTTCTCTGTTTTTTTTCTTTACGATTGTGAGACATGGCCATTGAAAGTGAAATATATATATGAAAAGGCTAACTGTCTTTGAGCAAAGGTCTTTGCTTCCTATCTCTCATGTTAAATGGTATAATATGGTGAGTAATATTGAGGTTAGGTGTGGTGCTGTTGAGTAAGGAAGAGAAATTCAGTCGATAAGGTTGTGAAGCTTCACCAACTGAGATGGTTAGGAGACGTGTAATGCATTCTAAGCCATCGTCTTCCCCCAACGGACAATGTTAGCCGACAACGGATTAGGTTGAAAAAGAGTCAGACATAGTTAGATCAAAACCTGGGTTCCACTCATGAAGCCTTAGACAGTTGATTCGCGCCAACCACGTAGGGACGTGTATACTGTCTGGTTGGAGTCCTAGAAATACTAAGAACCAATGGTTTGAGCCTGTTGGTGATATGACTCAAAATCGTTCTCACTGGTGCAGATGCATTCACTCTCAGACATTAAGTGTTTATGTTTCTCCATGTAATTATTCTTTCTTTGTTCATTATAGTTCTTATCAATTGTTAGTTTGCAGGGATTTGATTGGCTACAGGTTTGATCACGATTTGACATCAGTTAGAGAGAGAACCATTGGAAAACCAGCAGGGAGTACTGGACAGTTGTTTGCCCTCTTGGTTCAGGACTCTTCACAGTACGCACCCATTGGGGCTCGAACCCAGGACCTTCCGGTTACAAGGCAAATTTGTAGACCATTCAGCCACTTGAACCCGATCTTTTTGTCCACCTTTGTGTGTTACACAGAATGTGACAACTAGAACTGCTGAACATCTGTGCAAAGTTCGATGTTAAAACTCGGTCAGTCATCTCAATCTGCCCCGAACCGAAATATGGCATCAATCAATGATGAAGTCTTTGACTGTAAGTTTCAGCCGTGTAGGGTTGTGTACGCTTTATTTATTTATTATTATTAATATTCCCTTTGGTTTCAAGTGGAATGTAGGGCTTCAGAAGCCCATCTCCAATTCACCATGTCTAAATAATGCAGTCTCTTTTAGCTGTCTCCATAATTGACTATAGGTTTTCTTTTCCTTTTCACACGATTTCTTCAGTGTCACAATAACACACACACCCAACTCGTCGTTTTCCACTCTAGTTTCACTCGACAGTCTGGAGTGCAATATCACTCAACGGTATTAACAGCATATGCCCAATCCATTTCTATTTCATTCGTCACATTTGCCAGGCAACAGGTTCTTGGTTGGTTCGTTGAGAGAGAGAGAGTTCCTTGTTGCTTATTATTTCCAGCCAATCATCTTATCTTGAGTATGGACCAAAGTCAGCTGCTACTAATGAAATTTCAGAAAGGATATATTATATTATTATATTATTGTTCCCTTGGGTTCCTAGTGGAACAGAGGGCTTCAACTGCACGCCTCCACTTGCTTCTGTCTTCTGCTGCACTTTTCACCTGCATCCATATTAGTCCATGCTGTTTCAACTCCACTTCACACGATCTCCTCCATGTCACCCTTCGACGTCCCACTCGCCGCTTCCTTTTCGGGTTACACTCGAGCTATGACCTGACGCGCGATGTCACCCAGCGGCCTCCTCAGTGAGTGTCCAATCCATCTCCACTTTCTCCTGCATATTTGTTGGGCAATTGGTTCTTGTTTCGTTTGTTCCCATAGTTTCTTGTTGGTGATTTTTTCCGGCCATCTAATCTTCAGTATTGAACGAAGACAGCTGTTGATAAAGGTCTGCAACAGGCTGTTGGAAATATTCTTTGTGACACACTGGCCAAGTTTCTGATCCGTATAGAAGAAGTGACTTGACGTTTGTATTGAAAATCCGAATTTTGTTGTTGATGCTGAGTGACGAAGATTTCCAGATTGGTTTCAGGTTGATGAATGTGTTTCCCGCCTTCCCGATTCTCGATTTGACATCCTCGTCCGTTCCTCCTGTAGTTGAGACAATGCTCCCTAGATAAGTGAATGAAGTAACCTCTTTCAAATCCCTCCCGTTGATGGTGATTGGCGCTGGATTTTGCTGCTGTTGTTGTTGGTTGGATAAGCAACCAGGAACTCTGGCAGGGAGTCAACCAAGAATCTATTACTCAACAAATGCAGAATGAAATGGAGGTGTACTGGAGACGCATTGAAGGCATCATTGAATGACATCACACGCGAAGTGGGCTATCGAGTGGAACCTGAGTGGGGATCCGTAGATGACATAGAGGCAATAATGTGAAGACGACATGACAGCATGTGGAGGACCAGCTTAAAAAGACAATGGAGAACAGGTTGATAGGTAGATGTGCTTCTGAAGCCCTTAGTTTCACTAGGCATCTAAGAGGTGAACAGCCAATAATATTAATGCTTAGACAGAAAAAAAGTAACAAATTCTACTGACAGTATAATAATAATAGTAATAATGCTTGGTAATATGCTTACATCATTATCAAATTGCATAAAATTCGATACAACACGCATATTATCATAATGAACATTTGAATGATGCAGAAATAAATCAATAACATCACCAAGTCCAGCAGAGAAAACCAAAACAGGTATATTATAGTTATGTAACAATTGAAGAAAAATATCCACTTTCTCCCTAAAATATGAGAAAACAGCATTGAAGTAAGAGAAACAAGGTAGCATGAAAATATGCGCAACTCAACATATATACTACTGAAATTTTTAAGGAGTAAAATTAACTAACCATAAAAATGGTATTTACAAAATACTCCAAAACTGTAAAACAGTTGTTATTCCGCATAGATCAAACCCAACAAACCCAACATCAGAGGACTATTTAAAATACAAAACACACACCACAGAGCAATTTCCAAGAATTTACAATTCAGCTGTGTTTATACAATCAAATGCTCAAACTTTGATGCAATAACATACGTTGAACAAACTTTTCGAGACATCAAAATCAAAATAAACGAATGCTGTAGATTTTCTTTTCAACCGACCAGAAACCCACTGGAACTGGAAAAGTTTGAAAAAGCTTCAGTTACAGGTTTAAATGCCACATCAGTTCCTGATCAAATCCCTAAAACCCAGTGTAGCACCCTCTAGGAGCTATATTCCCTCTAGGAGTCTCCGGTTTTTTCTCCGATGTTTTCATGTTTTTTTTATAAAACGACTTGGATAGCCCATCTCCATCAGGGAATTGTGAATATATTCAAATTCCTTTTGTAAGAGGTCATCGGTACATATCTTTCTTGCTGTGCTCGTAAGACATTTTACAACATTCCTTTTATATTTAATGGGCAGGTAACTAAGGTAGTGTGTGTATTACCCTGTGAAAGTGCTTTTTCTGTACATGCTGTTTTTCATTATTCGTGTTATCACACATTGCCTCACTTTTTCATCCTCATTATTGATAAGACCATTTTTATTATTACTACTATTATTATTATCATTACTACTATTGTGGTGAGAGCTGTCTACTAGCCAAATTGGTAGACAGTAATTGACGTCAATGTTTACGTTCTCAAGATTGGTCGTGAGAAAATATGAACAAGACTGATTCAAAAACCGACCACAGCAGACTTTGCGTAGGCGGATACAGTTAACATATTGATGATCTGATATTCGAGAAACAGTCACAAAGAGATGAAAGATTAACTTTAAGTGAGAAACAACCAATCAGAAGACTGTGTTTGTTTGCTTAACTAATCTATAATAATGTACATGAAAATATATAAATATGCTTTGATTTCCTTAATAAATGATCTGTTACCTGGCCCTTGTCTTCTGTTGTTACACTTATGACTAATTGCACAATTTATATTCACCATCGTATTATCCTATAGACAAAACACCATGATTGGTTTATATTTGAATTTTTATTTGTAAAATTATGTATATTCCGCACCCTGGCCTCCAAGTAGCTAGATTACAGACGAACGCCACCACGTCAATGTCCGCGTCCCAAATCAGGGTCATGAGAAAAACAATAACAAAGCTTAGCCTTGAGTAAATCACCAGAAAGGAATACTAAAGTGAAAGATCCATCCACATGGCTAGTGATCCCCATAGCCATTTCATACACTGTTGATTTCTTTAAGACATTAAACTCTATATTCCCTATCGGTATAAGGTGTACCTTTCCAAATTTCCATTAACGACAAAGTATGTCAATCATTCCAGTAAAACTATTCGACAATGTAGTCTGAAAAAACCCACAGAAATTAACTGAAATATACTTCCTGAATAGGGCCAGTCACTAGTGAGCTCACTAGTGACTGGCCCTATTCAGGCAGTTAACCTGGGGTTCTAGTGGGAAGCCGTGACCAGTAGGGTACAGCAGGTTGAAGATGAGGCAGTAACTCATCGACGAAGACATTGCGAAATGGTTGCGCTATGTCGTGAATTGGCAGAAGTTAGAATTCAAGGACCATTGGATCGGGTCCCAGTGGCTCAATGGTCTACGAGCTCGCCTTGTAACCAGAAGGTCCCGGATTCGAATCCCGGTGGGTGCGTACTGATGAAGAGTCCCAAACTAGGACGAAACAGCTGTTCAGTACTCCCAGGTTTTCCAGTGGTTCTTTAACTGATGTCAACTCATGATGAAATCCTCCATGCAATCAAACAAAATCCCTACAAAACCAATACTTGAAATATACTTCTCACATAGGCAGAAAAGAATTCCAAGACTCCATACAAATATCCCTTACACAGAGGTATTTAGAGGGGAGATCATAGACCTCCTTAGTAGTTGACAAACTATAAATCTAGAAAAAATTTATAACTCACCTTAAAACTAAACGACTTTCTTTAACTGTTTTCTCAAGTGCGTATTTATGTATACCACAGTCAACTATGGCTTGATGTGCTGACTCCCACCATTCAATCATATGGGGAATTTTCTCACTTTCTTTTAGATTAATATCCATTTCAATAGGATAATATTTATTACGTAATTCAATCAACTAATTTTATAGAAGGTAAAGAGAAGAAAAAAAGAAAAAGAAAGAATAAAGATGAATATTTTATTCTCATTATTAGTAATTGAAAATTTTAGGAAAAAAACTAAAGAAAGACACTGAACACCCTCAAAAGGCATCTAGTTGTTATTTCTTCTAGATTTGAAAAGTAAAATAATGGTAATTGAACTCAATAGTGAAACAACTTTTCTAGTCTAATTTGTCAAGGTGTTCGAAGTTAGAATTCATGCGCTGGCCATTGAGGAGTCGGGTCCCAGTGGCTGATTCGTATACAAGCCAGCTTGCCTTGTAACCGGAAGAGCCTGGGTGCGTGCTGCCGATGATTCCCAAACTAGGCTGACGAAACAGCTGTCCAGTACTCCCTGCTGGTTTTCATTGGTTCTCTAACTGATATCAATTCGTGGAAAAACTCGTAAAAACAAAACTATTCCTTACAAACCAACTCTTGAAAAGTTGTTAATCGCTGAACACTGAAGGAGGTCAAAAATACCAAGGAGTTATTGACAAGACAATAATGAGATTCAGTGAAAATACACTTTATACAACAATCGCTATATATTTTCATTGGACACTACTAACTAGTGCGACGTGTCTAGTCCTTTCTTTGGTGTAGACTGAATTCTATCAGTCAGGTTTGCAATGTGGCCACCATTCTAGGCCAACTAGCACGAAACCTAGGTCCAAGGCTTCCTGCCGATCGCCTCCAACTATCTAAAATCGCTACATATATATAATGCACATATGATACACATCAATCCGGCATACTGCATCGATTATGTAACAGTTTATATGGAAAAATATTTTCAAGTAAGTCAAATACGCAAACCCGCAAATGAATTCACGATTTGCAACTTACACAACTCGAGGTGAAATTCCACCCATAGTTTACTTTGGGAACCAAAATTATTCACATTACAGTATGTTGTCTGTTTGATACCAACGGGGTTCACCAAGTCAGGCAAGAAGACAGTTAGTCACCTGTGATACTGACTGGCGGTTGCTATATATATATCACAAATTGGCAAAGGTTGGAACTCATGGACCATTGGGTTGGGTAACAGTAGTTGAATGGTTTACGAGCTTACCTCGTAACCGGAAGGTGCTGGGTTCGAACCCCAGTGAGTGAGTGGGTACTGATGAAGAATCCAAAACTAGATCAAAACAAGTGGCTAGTACTCCCTGCTGGTTTCCCAATGGTTCCCTCGCTAACTGATGTCAACTCATGACCAATCCTGTAACCAATCAAATTCCTGCAAACCAACACTTGACTGTACTATAATTAACAATCAAATAAGCAAGCATAAATACATAAGGCTATAAACTACTAACTGACTGACTCATATGAGTAGCTGGAAACCACTTGCACCAACCCAGCTAGACTGAAGTGATCTAAACACCACACAGGGCTGTTTCGTTGGTTTACGGTCGTGCTCGTGTCAACGGCGTTACCCAATGTGATTAAACTCTAGACGACATCTTGAAGTCGTTTAACAACTGCCACCCTGCAATTCAGTTCACGATGGAGAAAGAGTCCAACTCCACAATATCTTTTCTTGACGTCCAACTAACAAGAAGAGAACAGGACGGAACACTGAAAAGATCTATCCACAGAAAATCGACGTGGAACGGACAGCTTACTAACTTTCACAGTTGGGTACCACTATACACCAAACGAAACCTGATCCGTTCACTCAGCTACAGACTTCGCAGAATTTGCACCCCGGACACCATAGAAGATGAACTGTACAACCTCAAGAGAATCCTCGTCGAGAATTGCTATCCAGAAAGATTTATTGCAAAATCTATGAATCCTAGACCAGAAAAGCCACCCATACTTAGTGTAAAGAAAAAACTACTCTACATGAACCTTCAATTCAGTGGAGATCTATCTGCGGAAACACTAAAAAATCGACTGTCGCGCTCACTTAAGAAAACCTTCTTCGCAGCTTAACTATGACTAACCTTCTCCACAAAACCTATGATTCATGTGAACGTGAAGGATAAGCTACCGCTGTTGGCCTCATCAATGTGCATTTATCAATTCACCTGCTCGTGTGGAGCCAGGTATGTCGACCGTACCCAGCACTCGCTTTCCAAACGTATCACCGAACACTTACCAACATGGTTTTACAAAGGAGAAAATCGATGCCCCCGCAGTTCCATCTTAGAACATCTGATAGAATCCGGACACCAAGCTACACCCCAAACAAACTTCAAAGTAGTCTACAGAGTAAGAAGTAGTCCCCCTAAAGGTGTACGAATCAGACTTCTTCAAACTGCAGAAGCAATGGCGATTCATTTGCTAAGTCCTGAACTCTGCATACAGAAGAAGTTCGTTCAATCACTACACTTGCAATGGACGTAATCTATCTTATTAGCCGACATGTAAATTCTACCTAATCTTTTCTTCTGTTTCTTCATTAGTATTATTTTGTCTTCTCAATTGTGACATTTTACATTTTCAACTTTCTTGTTCTCTACCCCCACCCGATTTAATTTCTACACCTCACTACCACTGTTACTGACTTGAAGAACGCTCAATTTCTAGTCATTTTTGTTACGTCATCCAACTTATTTGCTCAATTTCACTTCTACTTAGTCTCTACCTGTAATTACCTCAGTTGCTACCCTGATCAAAGTTGATACATTTTAGTCAATTGATATTACGTCATCTAGCTTACTAACTCAATCTTACTTTAGTTGCTGTCTGATTAACTTTGTCTCTATACTACATCATTCTTGTATTAACTAATCAATTATCTAAACTTGACAAACCTCATGTACACACACACAAAAATATTTATATATAAATGCGATTGTACAGCTATGTGAATGAATTCGCCGAAAAGAGTCTCTTCGCTGAATGTCTTCTCTTTTTCATATGACTCAATGGGGATTTTCAATCTAAACTCAAAGGAGCGAAATCAGATCAAATCACCGGAATTCTGCTAGCTACTTCGACGAAATGATGACAGATTGAACTGACTTTCAATCTATAAGGGAATTCACCACTTACAAGTTAAGCAGTTCAAGGTTTTCTTTGGCAAACGAAATTATTCCGATTATAATATATGCAATCTGCTTGCTATTGTAATAGTTGGTAATCAAGAAAACAAGAATAATCCCACGGTGGTACACAGTAGGGATTGATTGATTGATGGTACGAAATTTTTATACCTTAATACAAACCATTCTCTACTAAATCGTACAGGGACCTAAGCTCTTTGAGCTCAGTCACACCGGGTACACACTGATGATCATCATCTCGACTCAACAAAAAAAGAGCAGAATAGCCATCCAGTCTGATTAGCTAGCAAGTACTACTAGTTGATGTGAAGGAAATGCAACTGCACATCTCAACCAATCATTGGTATATAGCATAAGTTAAACAGGTTAAACGCATCAATATGGTTGAACAACTGTAAACACTGAATAACTTACTATAGATTTTGTTGTCTCAGTTAATTCAGGATCTGATTCAAAAATACCTGAGGAAACAAGAAAAACTGATTAGATATCTGAAAAGGAATCTACCATGACAAGTTGGAATAATTTCCCCGTTATGACGATATTTTGACATTGTACGATCGAAATCTGTAACAATTTCCCTGAGAAATAGAAAGGAAAGATTAAAGAGTAAGCGCATTAAAGTATTTTCTAATAGCAAAAAAAAATAAATATTACTGATATATATGTCAAGATTTTCTCTTGGAATGCTAATTGAACAAAAATTGTTGACATTTATGCGTTGTCACACAGGTATCTCATACAGACTATTCTGTAGTAGGTATTATTATTTTTATTATTATTACTCCCTTGGGTTTCGAATGGAACATCGGGCGTCCTATTTTCTGCTCTCCTCTTCACTTGGGTCTACAATTGCCCATATTCTCTCATCTCCTCCTCCTCACCACCACCACACGATCTCCTCCATGTCACGCTATGACGACCCACTACTCATCGCTTCCCATTCAGATTCCACTCGAGCAATGGCCTGCATCGCGCGCGATGTCATTCAACGGTCTCCTCAGAGTATGCCCAATCCATCTCTATTTTCTTCTGCATATTTGTCGAATAATCACCTCTTGGTTGGTTTGTTCCTAGATAGAGTTTCTTGTTGCTTATTCTTTCTGGCCAGCCATTTGATCTTCAGTGTGGAGCCAGCGAAGGAGGCAGCTGTCCTCAACAGCCTGTTGGAAATCCTTTTCGTGACACGCTGGTCAAGTTTCTCACCCGAATAGAAGGACCGACTTGACACCGGTGTTGAAAATCCGAATCTTGTTCCTTATGTTGAGTGCAGAAGATTCCCAAATTGGTTTCAGGTTGATGGTGTATCTGGCCTTTCCGATTCTGACTTTGACACCTTCATCCGTTCCGCTTGTAGTTGAAACCATGCTTCCTAGATAAGTGAAGGGAGTAACTTTTGTTAAATCTCTCACGTTGATGGTGATTAGTACTGGTTGTTAGTGCTGTTGGCTGGTTATCTTCATCACCTCCATTTTCTCTATGTTCACTTGGAGTCCTGTCTTCGCTGCGTGCTGCTTCAGACAGTTTGTCAGTTTTCGCCTGGGAGTCTTTGAGTTTGTGGGACAGTAAACACAAATCATTCATGCACGAAATTCATATCTTCTACACTCGTCTTATCTGTCCAATATATGTCTGTCTTCTCGCTCCCCATCGTCTGACGCATAACCTAGTCCACCACGACTGGGAATATCGTCGGTGATGATAGGCAGCCTTGTCTTACTCCTGAATTCGCTACAAAAGTTTCGTGGATTACCTGACATGTGGCATTGTCATGCAGATATCGAATAAGGCTGATAAAAATTTGTGGCACGCCGTAGTGTTGAAGCAGTTTCCAGATTACTTCTTGGTCAACAGTGTAGAAGGCCTCTTCGAAGTCGATGAACTTAAGGTACATGTTTGACTGTTACTTTATGCTTTGTTCGATGACGATGATGCGTAGAATTGCAATCTAATCACCACATGATTTGCCTTTCCTGAATTCAGGTTGTTCTTGGTGGAGCTCTGCATCCATTGCGTCTATTATTTCCGCCAAAATGAGGCCACTTAGTATTTTACTCAGCGATGGCAAGAGCATGATTCCAAGCGAGTCCTTGCAGAGGCCTAAGTCGCCTTTCTTTTTGGTAGTTTCACAAGGTGGCCTTTTTGTCAATCAGCAGGCATCTCTCCTTCCTTCCAAACCATTTGCAATAATGGTGCCAGCATATCCCCTGCAGTCCCTGGGTTAGTTTTCAGTGCTTCTTAAGGGGAATTTCGTCGGGCCCTGCTACCTTTCCATACTTCAGTAGCTGTATCGCATTTAAGATTTCTGCCTTTGTTGGAGGACTAGTGTCCACTAGCAGTTCTGTGTGTGCTGTTAATGGTATTTCTGGGCGAGTTGTAGTGGACAGTAACGACTAATTCTAGCATGAAAGCTCCACAACAAACCATCTTGATATTGAACCCATCTCTGAGAATAGAGGAATTCGCTGTCAGGTAAATCAATACTTAACATACTTCAGGAATTATTGTATTGTTAATTATATACACTGAGTTGAATAATTTCATTTCAGAAGGAATTATCGTATTATGTTTAAGTTGATTTTGTATTTCTCGTAGACTGATTATGTTAAACCAAAATATTCAGTCTTTGTTGACATGTCATTTCCTAGTACGGATAATTTGATGATGTCTGAGGATTAACATGATGTTATTTGATGTATCTTGACTAGCCCAAGTGACCGAATGAATAACACGTTGGCGTGTTATTCATGCTGGATGTGAGTTGCAGTGGAAACACCACCACTCACTGGGAATACAGGTATATCTAGCTGACTAATCCCGAACTGGACGAAATATGCTTCCTGGACTAAACTGCTATTCAACTATACAACAGGAAGTATTGTATTCTAAGTTGGGGAAGTACCATCAGCCTCAACGGGTTGATCTCTGACGAAATTTCAGCACGAATACAGAGGGCTAGTTTCGCATATGCCAGTTTACGCCGTCTCTGGTGTACACGTGATATCCGACTATCGACCAAAGGGCGTGTGTACTGCTCATCAGTTCGCTCCGTCCTCCTTGAGAGTGGAAGGCATGAGAAGACTACCGGTATTTGATCACAGGTGCCTGCGTTCTATCTCCCGTGTGAAGTGGTAAAATAAGGTGAGCAATGTTGAGGTTAGGCATAGGTCGAGTGCTAGGTAAGGAGGGGAAATCAGTCGACGAAACTGTGAAATTACATCGACTGAGATGGTTAAGACATGTGCTACGTATGCCTAGTCATCGCCTTCCTCGACGGGAAATGTTAGCTGATATAGGGTCAGGCTAGAAAAGAGCTAGCGGTGGTCAAACCAAAACATGGCACCAGTCAATCAAATCTACAACAGTTAGTCTAAACCAGCCACGTAGGAAGGTGTAGACTTCCTGGTTGGGGTCCTCGGGACGGTAAAAACCAATGGTTGGAAACAATTGGTGATATGGCTCAAAATCGCAGATGCATCCACTCCTTGTGACTTATGTTTTCCAATGAAACTGTTTTGTTCTTCGATATTACTATTCTTTTTGACTCATATCTCTGTTTACTGTCTCTAATATGCATTCCTCCTACTTTCTTCTCTTGCTTTGTCTGCTACATGGAGTGTGGCGACTTGAACTGCTGCACATCGGTGCAAAGATCTATGTCGAATACAGACAGACAGACAGATTCTAAGTTGGTATGGTGTTGATGAAGTCTATAATAATAATAACAACAACAAGTGGTATGTAATGAAACCAAACCAGTAGTACACATACGAATACTAAAGGTGTTCATCTTTAAAGTGTCTGGAATTTACTGCATACTAGTGCATCTAATTATATCTCATATAGAAAATTATTCATAAAATCATGCATACAAAAATATACTTACAGTTTATCACCTCCACTAGTGATAAGTACCTCTAATTTCTTTTGAACAACTTTAATATTTTTTATAAGAACTGCTGGAGAGTTAATATTTCTCTAAAATAATACAAAGTGAAATAAATAAAGAGGATAGTTTAATCCGATGAAAACTTACAACATTTGAATTCTCTAAAAGATGATTTACAAGTTTAGAGACTGTCATTTGGAAAGTGTTTTCAATAGTTGTAGTAAAATTATTTACAGGATGAATTTGAATCTTTGCCTGTCAAAAAGTAAGATAGTAAAAAAAATTACAAATTACACAATTATAATGACCTCAAAAGAAGTAAATTAAAACGCAGCGCTTATAATAACAATAATGGCAACGTCAAAGAATAGCAATCCAAATAAAACAAACGCACCAATGACTACAAAATGACGAATCTCACTTAAGTGAACGGTAACCCTAATCTTCCTAACCCTAACCTAATTTAAACCCAACCTCCAATGTATACCTAACCTGGCTCTTATCTAACCCTAAACAACCCTAACCTTAACCCTAACCAGGCTCCCTGTTTAATATGCTCACATTTCTTTTATCATTTTTCTACGAATATATTGTCTTAGACTTGATTTCGTTAACCTGTCCTGAGTGTTCATTCTGAGGCCATTGTTGCGTTTGTTTCCCTGGATTCCTATTCTTTAACTTGGCCACAATAAGAACAATAATAATAACTCTATTTGAAAAGACACTTTTAACATAGTATGAAATTGTCAACATTCCATATTGTAAAAAAAATTTTACCTTCTATATAAATAACTTCTAAAGAAATAACCAGAAACTAAATAATAGTGGTAATAATAATCACAAGAATAATAACTATTATTAAGTGATAAGAGGCATGAAAAAGCTATTCACTCACTGATTACAGTGTTGCTGTGTTAGTTCTCCCTTAATATATCTTTCTTTACAGAAGAAACCCAACAAATTAGGGATAGTTAAGGGGATATAAGATATATATATATATACGCATATATCATCAACTAACTGGATCTTAACTGTTTACCTAATCAGACTTTCAACGAACTCAGAACTACCAAATAGTATGTGTATGTCTTTTTGAATTAATTTTCTACCTCTATCCAGTTGCCGTTTTCTTTTTATAACACTTATAGTAAATGAAATAAGATTGAACTGATATGAGATTACTTTAAGTCTTACATTGCTCTTACACCTGTATTTGTCTACTAAGTGTTGAACAAGGGAGTAAATGAGAGTTAGCCATCTGATAAGGATAGGTGAAACTTTCAAATGCGTTTTTAACATGCCATTAACACTATGCAGTAATTTAGGTGTAATAGCTAGTCATATATACATGTGCATTAGATCCACTTAATCCCCATAGATCCTTAGATTTACCGTAAACAAGTAGCGTACACTGAAGGAAACAAAATCTCTACTTGGTTTGACTGTAAATATGTAGAAAAAAATTGGTAAATAATATTTATAATCACCGAAATAAAAATACACATATTCATGTTACAAGTGACACCAAGTAGTGTATAGTTGAATTGACAGAAAGTGTTAGAAGTCAAAGCAAAATAAAGACAACTTGTAATATTCTTACAGAGTGATGATTACGGGGTTTATATTTTGCATAATTAGGTCACGAAGTAACTGCACCGACTGTCGATTCGTGAGTCACCGTCCAATACATAAAAATGTATCAGTCCATTAATTTATGCTGACTACGCCATTATTAACACCTAATGACAAAACTATCGAACCGTAAACGTTAACTCTGTCCCCTTACTGTGTGAAGGCTTGAGCAGTCTTCATCGACTTACTGATCAATCGCACCTATTAAAACCCAGTTGCTTGCAAATTGTAACTTGAGAAAGGTAACAGTTTCCAGAAAACCAAAACTTTACATGTAAACACACAAACTAAACTAAACTGATGGGTACAAATTAAATGCGAACAAGCACACAAGCAGAAGTAAAAGCACACTGAGAAGGAAAAACGCGAATTGGCTACAGAATTTAGCTACACTATTACGATATGATCTGACAGTAATATCGAGGCACCAAAGATATTTTAACCACGTGACATAACATAGATATATTCGGATATCAGCTATTTACTAAACATGACAACAACTAGCTCGACATAAAGCCACTCAAGGAAACTTCGTACCCTAGCAATACAATACAACACCAAATACAAAATAAGACAAAAATAATGCTTTCCACATTCTTCATCTGTATGTTCTACTTTTAAAAGCCAATGCAGAATAAACCTCAATGATACTGGTTTCAATAAGAATACAACTGTCAGTTGTGCAACAAAAATTGGTTAGAAGTGATAATAGGTAACAATAAGATGAAATTTTAAAAACCCCAGTCCAAGAGACTACATGCAAATGCGTATGATGTACACCATTTTTAGAATAGGTTAGTGTCAATACAAAGGTAGTTAAAAACAACTCTTCATGCCACCTACGTACATATTCATGTGCATTTGGAGGAGGTTTCTTCGCTGTGAAGGCCTTGATACCCTTCGATCTCACTGTCACACGAGGAGAAAGTAGAAATCCAATCCAATACCTCATAGTTTATAGGCATCTAGCATAAAAAGACCTTAAAATTTAAGACAGTTGCAATGAGAGATGTGAAGAGCATTATTTAACCCTAGCTCATTATGCATGTGTCGACCTTTGGAAATCATACCACACAATTAGTCACCAATCCAAGTGGATGGAGCAAAAATATATCTGAAAATTAACATCTCCATGTTGTTGTTAGTAAAATCCAAACTCCTCTGAATGAAGGAGATTCATCAAATTATGTTCAATAATTTAAAGCCCAATATATATGAAAGCTAAAAGCCCTTATTTTAGCAACAAATGGGAAATAAAGTTAAAAGATAACGAAATTTTGGGAAACTAGAGATGTTCCAACTTGTTCTGATAATCTGCACGCGTCAGAACTATGAGGATTTATATGCATAAAGTCAGCAGTCTGCAGGATTAGTTTCATTCGACTCTTCGTTTCAGTAAACTATCGTTCTCCTGTCCTCGAATCTATAGCATCTGGTGAGGAAAAACGTAGCTAGCTACATACAGAAGATGACCACTATGCCCTCCTTTTTGGTCTTTAAAACTGCAGTGTAGCCCCTTTTAACAGGACATGCTTTGATGCACGTGAACTTTACAAGGCCACTGCAATCTAAGAACGTTCCGATTCGTTTTAATTGGCAACCCGAGTATTTAATGCCGGCATAATGCACCGCTAAGTCAACCACATAAATAGTGAATAATGTTTCACAACAGTTCGGCTGCACAGTGGTTAGGACTCTCGCCGACCATGCACATGGTCCGAGGTTCGAGCCCCTGCCGGCGCACACCCGATATCTATGGTCGGCCTGCAAAATTTGGGCTACCGATATCCATGCTGAAAATGCCATACTTGTACTGAAAATACGGTGTGGCATCAAGCTGTAACCAAAATAAAATAAAAAATTAAAAAAATAAAAATACAGTTCACTAGACTTTCTCTCTCCCTATATGTATTTATTTTTTTCAAGTATTGATTTTGTAGGGATTTTTTGGATTGCTCATGATGTCAGCTCATGATGAAATCCTCTGTGCAATATATGTATATATATATACATATATATATATATATATATAGTCGATGAACTTTTACACTATATAATGTAAAATAGTACACTTATTGGTATGCTTATCCATGCTTGCGTCCTAAAGAGTATAATAACCAACAATGCATACAGTGACTTCTGTCAGATAATTTTAGAGGTTTGAAGTACGAAAAAAGAGTAATCCTTTATTTAAACTAGGTAGTCAACATATTTTCATTAACAGATGCGAAAAGTAATTATGTTTTAAAACAGTATGAGAAAAAGTCTGAACACTTTAAATAACGAATACAGTTATACCTACGATATGTTGCAATATGCACAAACCCGCAAAAACGAAGTTTCCTTCTTGGACACTGAAGGTCGTCACCTAACTATCAAACGGGTTTGATTAGTTAAAACAAAGCAACGGTCTTGGAGCCTCCTTAATTCTTGAATCAAAAGCTTTGATCTAGAAATTAATCCGGTTCCACACTTAAAGTATTTTAAATGACTCTTGAATGCCTTGTTTGTGTTCACATTTCTTGTATCCATAACCGGGGAGAAACCGAAGAGCAAAATTAACGTAGGCTCCCGACAGTTGACCAAACGCTGGAAAAGTTTTTTGATTCCAAACTAATAATTATTTGTAGACCAACTTTTCTTACTCACACCCCTTAAATATATGATCTGCTCAGTGTGTCAGCAAAAAGACAATATAGCTAGATCTTCCCTAACAGCTTCAAGCTTCATGCTCATGGAATTTCATTATATTTCCCTTCTAAGATGAAGGGGTACAATAATCTGTGGAGTTTGGTTCACTGACTGTTCTGTTTCAAAACTTAGGAGACAACCGTTTTCTACAACGATTCAGGGAGAGAAACATTTCGCTTCCTGAAAGACATAAACTCTATAGTCTTAAAGTCGGACGTTCCTTATGTAAGGTCGCAGAAAGTTTGATCACAGGACACTTCACCATATACGTCCTTTTGGCCTCATAATTTGTTTTGCCTTGTAGGATTGTCGGTGTAGTCCACACAGTGAGTATCTTCCTAAGGCTATGCAGGATGTGGAAATTTCATTATTTGTAATAACTGTGCAAGTTGGACTAGCATAATAATCATTCACACATAAATTGTTGTCTTCTTGGAGCGTTTTCGACTTCTGAAAGACCTTGGTCCAGCTATTGCATATCCTAAGCTCACTGCGTCCTCCTTTGCTCCGACATTTTAATGAGCCAGTGGAATAAATTTCGCCACCACAACGTAGAAACCCATAAATAAAATGATTATAATTCCTCTATTGGACTGTTTTACTCCATAAAGAAACACACTGTGATACTGTGTGTCGGAAGACTCCGACAGATTGCAGGCTGACCTGCACACTCTGGGAGACTGGGCTCTGGCTAACGGAATGCCTTTCAACTTAAAGAAGTGCAAAGTAGTGCAACTTCATTCCGGCAGGTCACAGAGTGCAAATTACACTCTTGGTGGCCAGAACATACTTGGGTTTTTTTTGTTAATACGAAGACAATATTTCTATATTTCTTGATGTGGTCTATTGAATTACTAGTTATCAGATTGTTCCCATAGACAAAATGACTGCAACCTTATAATTTTACCATGAACCAAATTTATGTAATTTAAATAATACTTATCCATGCCTGTACAATTGTTGTGTCCTAAACAGGTAGGAAAAAATGTATTTTATTAAATTACTATTATTAAATATGCTTACTAATCGTATATGTAATTTATCATATTGATGATGCCTGTAAACTGGCGTCCCTCATGTAAAAAAATGAGAATATACTATTATTATTAACTTGAGTTGTGTGCCATCAGAACGCGACCTAGGCCTTATTTTAACAGAAAAGCTAGACACCAGTGTAAATTACACGAGGGACGTCGCCAAAGCTTACGCCACTTTACACTTTATGCATAGGCAGCTGGGAGCTCTTACCCCTGAACTATTCTTAACGTTGTATACGACATACGTGAGGCCACACCTTGAGGTGCATAATATCATTGCTCCTCCGCTACTCAAAAGGGATGCTAACATGCTAGAAGGTGTCCAGAGACAAGAGACAAAATGGGTGATCGGCCTCCGCAACAAATCATATGAGGAAAGATTGAAGAAATTAAATCTTTTCACACTTAGTTACCGTAGTCACAGGGGTGATCTCATCACCGTCTATAAGATCTTAAATGACCAGGCCCATCCTAATAAGAGCATCCTGCCATTAAGTGATTATAGGCTTCCACGAGGTAACCCGCTAAGGATAGCACACCAGAGACCAAGGACTCGAGTGCGTTCACATTTCTTCTCGCTTCGAGTTTGCCGTCTCTGGAACGCTTCACCAGCGGCCGTAACTACAGCTCCATCTGTGGAGACTTTTAAGCGGAAGCTGGACAATCATGCAGAAATGCATGGTTTGTGTCTCAATGGCTTACCCTCTTAAAATTTGAAACCACATTGTCAATGGATAAGCATACAAGCTAAATCCCCACGACCCGTCCTGTCTTCTCTCACTGTACCGACTACTCTATCTTTTCTTTCTTTATTATTTCACCTTTATTATTTCACTTATCTCAACCTATATTATCTACACTACAACCTATTATTATCATTATTATTATTCTACTTTTATGACTATACCGAATGACCAACAGGTGTTAGGTCAAACTCCATTCACGGCAGCAGCTGAGTCCTAACATACTGCACACTACAAACCACAATCTTGACCAATCCTCGCACCACTCCTCTTGGAGTCTACCAGAGCTAAAGCAGTCGAGTGGCGCGATTTACTACACATAAGTTCACCGAAGATCTGGAACTTCTACCTTACAATCAAGAAGCGAGCTCAAAGAAATCACTGGTTTATACAAGCTCGTAATCACGATATTGGATATTGGATTCAACGATAGCATTTTGATCACAGTTTACTGCTAATAGTCACGTCAACACAAATTTCAAACCTTGTCTACATACTTCCACCAATGTTTGTCCTTTCATTTTATTGAAAGTAACATTTTCCTTGCCTTTAGTTTGGGAGTTGTGTCACTTTTATTGCACTTGTTAGCCGTAAATTCGATGAGCAAAGATAAAGTTATCAACCTCTCCCTCCACCCACCTACATTACCATATAGAAATGTACCTCTGTCACATCCGGTTGTGTGATGGTGTACTAGTAAATGCATTGTGATTCCCTAGTTTACCGATAAGCTATTCACTTGGCTAAATTCTGATGTTCTAATTATCACAAAGACCCTTTTCTACAAGTCTAGCCAATGTAGTTGACATGGCAGTCATTGCAAGGTATACCGTAAAGTCAATTATATGGTCTAACTGTGTTTTTGGAGTATTTAATTCCATGGGGCTCCAATGACAGGATTATACTCTTCTGTAGTTTCCAAATTTTATTCTTATATAATATGATTATAACTACACGGCATGTACATTATTTTCAAGCACGCGAGCAGGAAATATTTGATGTCCTACATTATCCAAGAAACCAAACATTTTGAGCACAGCTAGAAAACAAGTCTACCCAATGTTAAATTATCATCCTAGCATCAATGTGCACTCGCGACAGGTTCAATCTATTTTCAAATACAGTCAGCATTAACTATCATGTGCTGTATGGACCCGAGATTAACCTTATTCCAAACTATGTAGGAACCTAAGGGGTCTGTTTAGGTGACGAAATTTCAGAAATTATAAATGAGGTTTCAGGGTAAGAAGTGTTAACAATCACCGATGCATGACATGGAAATAAAATTCACTGCGGAAAATTCGCATGAACACCTCATAGGTAATGTCGCCAGTCGTAAATATAGCATGAGTGCGTAGAGACTACGAAGAAGCCTGCAGTGATTTGCTGACCATGCCCACGGAGAGGCAAAATATTAGGCAAACCTCAAAAAATTATCGTCAAACATTTGCAATCTATTATTATTCGCTCCATGGATTCCCAGCGGGATAGAGGGCTTTAGCAGCACTTTTCCATTTCACTTTGTTCTCTTCTATCTTCTTTGGATGGCTGCATTCCCTATCACATTATCACCATGTCGTTCTCGGACTCGTTCAACTCTCGTTTTCCTTTCGGCTTCCACTCAACGATCAGATGTGTGTTTTCTCTCGACTGTCAATTTTCGATCGATTCCAATTTCCTTCGGCTTATATGTCGTGAAGTAGGTTGTTTATTAAAGCCCTTCACAGATTTCCTTCCTGACCCACCAACAGATCTTCAGTACTGAGCCAGTGAGGGTAGGTATTGATTAATGTCCACTGGAGGCTGGCCGTAATGCTTTTGATAACCTAGGCGCAAACTCTTCAAACCATATAGAACAGTCACCCTGACCTCAGAAATAATAGGCCCATTTAATGTATGAACTTAGAGACTACACCTGTGCTGGTTCCAGATCGAAAAGAATCAAAACTCCACCGGTTGCTGAATCAATAATACTTCTCTGCATGTTTAACTGGATACTAACTGCTGTGTGAAAAACTGTAATAATGCTTACTCCATGCATACATTATTATCATATTGATGATGCCTGTTAAGTGGAGTCCCTCATGTGCATAAGGTGAGAATACATTATTTTAAGATGCATTTTATTATTAAATGAGGGAAATGACTTCAAGCTTTATTTTTCCCAAGTATCTGTAATCCATCCAACGCCTACTTGGGTGTATTTGTTAATGTGAAGTCAATATCTCTGTATTTCTTGATGTGGTCCATTGAATTACTAGTTATCAGATTGTTCCCACAGACTGAAGAAAAAAGACAGCAACCATGTAATTTCACCAAAAACTAAATTTATGTAATTTAAATAATACTTACCCATGCCTGTACAACTGGTGTGTCCTAAATAGGTAGGAATAAACATGTACTTTATTATGTTATTATTATTAAATATGCTTACTAATCGTATATGTAATTTATCATATTGATGATGCCTGTAAACTGGCGTCCCTCATGTACAAAAAATGAGAATATATTATTATTATCAGTGTTAAAAAATCGGACCTTGTGCCACATGTTGACTGCAGTAGATTTCACACTGATTCTGGAGTGATAAAAATCTATCTTGCTTTTCCAACCTTACCTCTGACCCTTGTATCTGTGTCTCCTGCATTTGAAACAATATGGCCAAGGTTAGCCAAACATATAACTTGACCAAGATATCTCCAGTTAATAGCAATCGATGTTTGTTTTTGCTGGTCCAGTATCCCCATTACCTCTGTAACCTCTTTGTTCACTCGAAGTTCTGTACTCTCTGCCACTTCTACCAACTTGTTAGCTTTCGTCTATAAGTCTTCGGGCTTGTGTAACATTGGGCGTGAATCATCCGCGAAGTTCAGACCT